CCCTTATACTTCCTCAAACTATTAAATTATCACTTTCGCAAGAATTTTTAATTAGCCAATCTTCTTCTGACACCCTTTCCATTCTAGTAGTCAAAGCTTTCTTAGTAATCAAAAATTCGTGTCATTATGTTTTTATCTACCATTAATATTATTTGCTGCAACGCCAGTACTTCAATTAGAAGTTATTTAGCAAGGAACATTTCAAACAATTTGAGAAACTATCTAATAACTCAGGAAATACGAGAAGTTTCGTGAATAATAAATGTAATGTACATGTACAGTATCGTAATAAAATAAATAGCGTTAATTTTTTCTCTGTTAGTCAAACTTCCTGAGAATGTGGTAACTTACAACTCTCGCAGGTCTTGGAATAGCGGCAGTTTGGAAAAGATAGATGTATTCAAACAGCACCTACTGCGTAGGAATTTTATCAGTTTTACTCTATCCAAGGAGGTAACGTAGTTGTGTGATTTTTGCCATCTTACGTTACGCACTTAGCCAACTTTTCTTATATTCAATGAAAGATTATTACATTATTGTGTTGTACGGCGTGTAGAATGGTGTATTTAATTAAAAAATAAAAGTGTAATAAAAAAAACAAATAAAATAAGAAATCTAAAAATCATTCATATTATTCTTAACATTTTAACTAGGAAAGAATCAGGAGTCAAGTTGGCACACTCTTCAATTAATTAAAAATTTTCAATAAATGTGTTATTTATAGTTGCGGAGTTTTGTTTGTAGAAAGGTGCTTTTATGTGTTTATTTTATGTATTTTTTAATTAAATAAAAATTTAAATTTTATGTAAATTATTTTATATTATATATATTATTATTTCTATGATTAAACAATAACTTCTTTCACAATAAAATTATTACTATCGCGTTCAACAAATGAGTGAATTACACAGATAAGGCCACGCAAATTAATATTTTTGATTCACGTAACATTAAAATTTAAAATTGACCCGGGGACCCGGGTTTTATTTTTTATTAATAAAAAGTTTTTATTATATTTCATGTGATCGGCTAACTTATAATCAGAAATTGATTTTTTTTTTGTTCCGTTTTGATACTAAAAATGTCTACGAATAAGTTGCAATTCTGCATCTTTAAAAGGTTGGGAAGGCTTAAAATTCATAACTTTCCCGATCCAATTCCAACATTAGCGTTAGATGTAAAAATATAAAAGTTTCGAAGAGCTAAATGGTTAAGAACTGAAACTACATAAGAATATAGACTTTCTTTAAAAGAGAAAATGAAAATAATAATGAAGTGGTCTTAGATCTAGTGCACAATACTGTAAATGTAGGTACACTAATTCAATGTGGAGAGTGTGACAAGTGGCGTGTAATCTATTCAAATCCAAGTTATCTTCACATGAAAGTGATGAACACAAGATTTTTAGATGAAATTCTTATGATATATCTAGAAATATACGAAGTTCTCATAGCACAAATGACTCTTCAAAAAAGTTATTTTCTATTGTTAAAGCTAATAATACTTTAACATGCAATAGTGAATAGTTCCATTGAAATTCCATATTTAATATTCAATGGAATGTTTAAAGAAGCACTTTGTTTTAACTGTGAACAGAATGTGAAGAAGAGAATAATTGAGGAGAACATTTTCCGTATTGTGAAGATTAGTCAAAAATAAAAAGAGGAGTAAAGAAAAAAATTTTCTTTCTATTAAAAAAAATTCCATTAGAGAATTTTTCATCCTG